GTATAAACGTACAATACGATTAGCCATTTTTGTCAAATAAAATTTATTTCCTCTCAAACCTCCTGTAGAGGTGAGTTTTGGCATATCATTTTTTTTCAAACCTCCCATAGAGGTGAGTTGTGGCATATATTCAATCCATAATGATTTTATCACATATTCACTCATTCTCTTAGAGAATGCTCGAGCATTCACGATACTCATCACAAGTCACTTTCTCTTCAAGGAATGGACTAATCATTTATATGTACTTCATAAATTTGTATTATAAGTACGTTGTCATGGTTTTAAAATTTATCATATTTTAATGACACACCTCAACATCACTTTGAAAGATCAAGTGTACCATCACTTTATCTTCTTGGCTCGTGATAGAGAATTTATAAACTTGTCAAATTATTGGGTTGACAACATTCACAAGTCTAATGACATTTCATACCATTTTGATGATAAAAATTGCCTTCATATTTTGAAGGACTATTTGAAGAACCCATAGTGTTCTTCCTTTTATCATTACCACAATGATAACTATTGTAGTTCCGTTGCTCCACGCCCTTATTCATATCATTAACTATTTCTCATCTTTCAGACTTAATATTCACTACTACCACATTCATATGATTAAATGGAGCAAGTCAACAGCGGATTTCAAAGTTATCACATGTTGCTACCACATTCTTTTCAAGGAATGAAGCAAATTCAATATGATGAATTTCAAGACATTTCATCAAAAATATATTATTTTTGCCTTAATCATCATTTTATCACCACTATGGTGCATTGAGACTCAAACTCAATATCTTATCCATACAAGGCACATTTAGTTATAATTCTATGGGACTTGAACGCAATACATTATTATCACGGTGCATCAAAATTGATGTCTTACTCTCTTGGTGCGATGGAATTTGAATCTATCATCTTATCCTCAAATATTTTTCATTATGTGCATGTGGACTTAACCTGACGTCTTACCTCTTTGGTGCGATGAGACTTGAACACATCGTCTTACCCTTTACCAATGGTATAATAAACCGAAGTACAACATGATTCACCCTTTGAGTCTTTCAAAACAATCAAAATAATATTCAAACTCATGCGATTAAAATTTTATACATTCTTTTATTTAAGAAATTTTGTATAGCATGTCATATTCAACCAATAGTAGTATACGTCTTTGGTTCATGATAATTGTTAGTGACTGAATACTAGTTTATTCTAAATCATAAAAATATTTTAGAAAATACATACCTGATTTTATGCATATAATACCTTGATTCTCATAACGAGATCAACCAAAATATGAGTTAAAGAAAAACTAAAACTCAATCTTAATTGGCTAGAGACTCGTGCTGATAACGTGTTATAAAATTAAGCTCATAAGAATATAATCATAAAGAAAGAAGATAAGAGAAGTAGATGTAGAGAAGATTTTCTTCTTATTCAAGTGTATATCAAATGGTGAGTGATATCTCTATTTATAGTGATGAGATATCACTCCCAAAAATTACCGAATAAATAAATACATAGTTATCCACAATTGATCATAAATATACGTATATGAATTCAAGTAATTGATGAATATATCCAATGGATAATTCACTTAATTAGTTCAATGAATTTATATCAGTCAAGTGTTTATTTTGTTCTTGAAACTTTTTGCAACTTTTATTTTGTTTTGCATGCAAAGATATTTCAAGGATTGTGTTTCATGTACGTATTAGACCATGAATTCTATCATAATTTACTAGCGTCCTTGCAAATTTTAGTTGGGACCTATATGATTCATTTCACTAAACTACTTTCGTTTTAGTAAAATAATATGTAGCGGTAATTAATTAACACTAATAGTATAAGCATCATTAAATATATTTTTAGAGATACGTAACATTTTTTCTAAATATTTTTAAAGTCTATATCGACAATGACTTCATGGCAATTAATGTTTTAACTAATATAATAAAAAACTTTTGTAATCTTTGATAATGTGTGTATTTATTGTTGTTGGAAACTATTTTTTTGATAGTGTACCCTTAGTTGGAAATTCAGACTTATCCACATTGAGTATATATACCGAATTATATAATACAATCAATTTGAAAGGATATTATCTGTGTCGTATTTTAAATTTATAAATCCGATCAAATTAATAATATTTGAGTTTTTTTTATTTATTTTGAGTGGTTAAATTATTTCAAAAAGTTTTTTCGATAAAGATGTTTGAAGAAACCTTACAAGCTCTTTATCATCTATTAAAACTACAAACTTCATGTTTTCTCAATTTCTAATAGTGTTTATTAAGAAAATAATATAAAATATGAGATTAGTGGCAACACTAAAATATTTGACAAAAAATAATAATGAAATTACATAAAATAAATATTATAAATTAATAAGTCATAATGAAATTGATCATAATTTAAAAGTATAAATTATGCTAAAATAAGTCTAATAAATATTAAATACATGAGTAAACATTAAATAAAAATTAATATTAGGTTATATATTTTAAATGACTAAATCGATGTAAAATTAAAGAACAGATATTCGATATTATTGTCCTCTCATTGTTGAATCAATTAGTTAATTTTCATTTCAGATTTATTAGAGTTACTACTATTGTACTATAACTTCTATTGAACTATATAACTTTTACTCGACCAATCAAAATTCTGAGTCTCAAAAACTTAAAATAATATTTTAAAAGAACAAAATTAAGAAAATTTATTAGAAATATTTAGAAATTATATCAAAATAAACAATACATTTTATGTATAAAATAAATTTTATAAATTATAATAATATTAGATTGATTTGATATTGTGTTGACTTTTTTTTAGTTAAAACCAAACCAACTCAAGTATAGTCAGATTTTTTTGAATACCAAACTAAATCATCAATCGAATTTTTTTTTATATATGATTCAATTTACAATTTAATTTAATTTTGGAATCAAATTTATACACCCTTATTAATATATTCAATGTCTTCATTTGTAAGAAAAAATAAAGTCAAGTTTTTGTTTTGTTATTGCAACCTTTATTATTGTTTTACAGGCAAATATTTTTAGACCATGAATATATATCATATTTCACTAGTGTCCATGCTTTTGGTCTGCTAAAAAAATTTGGGGCCTATATGATTCATTTCACCCACTACTTTTGGTGTGCTAAAAAATTTGTAGCTGTAATTAATGTTAGTAATTTAATCATTGTTAAATATATTTTTAGATGTAATTAATATTTTTTTTGTAATATTTTTAAAGTCTATAGCGATATTGCACCAAATAAAATTAGTTAAAGTCAGAAAAAAATTATAGCAATCTTTGTTAATATGTGTATTTATTACCGTCGAAAACTGCTTTTTATGATAGTGTACCCTTAGTTGAAGATTCAAACTTATTCACAGTATTTATATCTAATTAAATAATACTAATTTATTAATGTTGATTAAGGTGAAACATATATAATATCGTTTGTCTCAATGTCATATCACTTTTATTTATTTATAATATAATATGTCCTAAAAATGTTGCCCTTTTTTATATTTAAAAATAATTTAATTTTTTTAACTCTCAATAAAATAATTTATAATTACATAAATATTTAAAAGAAATTAAAACACAATTTTTTTTAAAAAAATCTTAAATAGTATATCATATCAAATAATGTTACGTAAATTAAAAGATATACTACTAGTAGGTGTTTTTAAACACCGGCCACTTCAATAATTCAAACAAAATGATAAGAGAAACTCAAATTGAACTGCTCGTTCATTTTAACTTGCGTATTTAATTTTAATTTCATATAAAATTTTAAAAAATAATAAGAATTTTTAAATTTTGGAGTTCTAAATTAAAAATATATATACTTATTTTATTTCATAATTTTAAATATATTATGTTGAAAGTTAAAATTAAAAAATTACTAAATAAGTAATTATATATTAATAAAAAAAATAAGACGAATAAATTGAAACCGAAATAAATAAATGATAGGAATTTATAACAAATTCAAAGATGAATACTTTGAATAATAGTTTTGTTTTTGTTTTTATAAACTTATCTTTACTTTTAAGTCTTGCTCGTGATATTTTTATTATTATTTGACGGAACCATCGACAATCCTTCAAGTTGTCATCAATTTTCACTTAGATTTAAACACCTCAAGTAGGAAGTCACTGTGTCATTTTAACACCTTTTCGTTCATCAACTGAAATTACAAAGTGTATAATACACTAGCGGATGACATGTCATGATGACTAATTAAAAGTTTACATATGACATTTAAGTGTAAAAATAATAATTTTAAAATCAATAACGAAAAGCAATTAATTTTTCAGTAAAAATAAATAAATAAAATTACCTATTTTTTACTATTCCATCTCACCCCACCCTACTAATTCACCTTACTTCTGTCCCTTTTGCCTCCCCAACCTCCCGCCAAATTTTGGGTGTTCTTCCATTTTTTCTTTTAAAAAAATTCATTAGATATTTTTTTTTTTGTGAATTTGATTTTGAGAACCATATATGGCATTTCTTCTTCCATTTTTTTGGGGGAAAAATGTGTTTTTTTTTCAAAATTAGTGTGATAATTTTGTTCTTATAATTGTTTTTAAAATTAGTGCGATAATTATTTTATTTTACTTTTTCATATCTTTAAAGGTTTTTATCAAAATGCGTACAGCACACACAATACGCCGAGTCAGCAAAAAGTGTCAAACTGACATAACGGAATATGATATGAGATGTCTAGAATGAACAAAATATAGTTAAGATATCTAAGTGAAAATGTATGTCAACTTTAAATGGCCACCGATGAATTAGCCCTTATTATTTTACTCGTTATCTAATATCCATATTAAACACGTCTTTTTCATTTTAAAAAAAAAATGATACATTTTTTTTTCATACCTAACACACCTTTGCCTATCTTTTAACAACTGTTTTTTTAGACTTTGGCTGTGCTATTCTCTTATAAATAGAGTCTAAATATTTTTTACAAGAACTCATTAACTCTCAAGTTTGACAAAATGGCCACCCCTTCTCTTCAATCCCCAATAGCCAAAAAGTTATTTTCTTTCTTTTTCCTAATTCATAGTTTTAATTTTTTCTACACACTTAGAAAATAATAGTACTAATTTCTATTCGAACTTATTTTTTATGCAGGCTAGAAGGTAAGATAGCAATTATAACTGGTGGTGCTAGTGGCATAGGACTAGCTACAGCTAGACTTTTTATTCAACATGGTGCAAAAGTAACAATTGCAGATATTCAGGACGACCTTGTAAATTCATTAGTAAAAGAAAATGAACACCTAATGTTCGTCCATTGTGATGTCGCGATTGAATCAGACGTTCAAAATGTGGTTGATGCAACGGTTGCCAAATTTGGTAAGCTTGACATAATGTTCAGTAACGCTGGTGTAGCTGGTAAGTCGATTTCCAGTATTTTAGACGTAGATACCGATATAATTAAAAACGTGTTCGATGTAAATGTCGTTGGGGCATTTTTATGCGCGAAACATGCTGCTAGAGTGATGATTTCGAGTCATACAAAAGGTTCAATTATTTTCACGACAAGTGCGGCAACGGTAGTATATGGTATCGTCCCACATTCTTATGCGGCATCAAAAAGTGCGGTTTTAGGGCTCTGTAAAAACATCGGAGTCGAATTAGGAAGATACGGAATAAAAGTTAATTGCGTTTCTCCTCATTATATAAGCACAAAACTTGCGTTGGACGCGCTCGGAATAGACGAGAGAGAAAAGGCAGAGAGATGGTTTGGTGAAGGGGGGAATTTGAAAGGAGTTTTATTGGAGGAACAAGATGTAGCAAATGGAGTGTTGTATTTGGCAAGCGATGATTCCAAATATGTGAGTGGTTTGAATTTAGTTATTGATGGTGGTTATAGTACTACAAATGTGGCTTTGGGTGAGGCCTACAAGAAATTGTTCCCTTCTGGTACAACCAATCAAGTTATGCAGATTCTTATTTAAATTTGTGAGACATTTAATCTGGTCCGTTTTGTATTGTTTTCTAGCCTTATAATTGTCACTGTCTTACTTTATGTACACGCTCTTTTCTTTTTTCAATTCTAATAATTATCATTGTTTTTATAATGTACTCGATTTGGAGTATTACATTACCGTTGAATAATTTTCTTAAACTCCATTGGCTTCATTAATACGAGTTCGGAGCCTAAAAGGTACAAAATATTAACAAAAATTTCAAAACGGTATATAAAATTTTATATTAATCATAATGGTAAAATCGTTGCACCAACAGCGACTTACCCCCCATCGGAAAAAGCAAAATTGCTGCCTCTGCAGCGATTTTGCAAAATCTGATTTTTTTAAAAATAAAAAATAAAATTGCTGCTCCTGCAGCGATTTCGTAATTTTTTTTTAAAAAAAAAAATTGAAAAAAAATTCTATAAATCACTGCTTAGACATCGATTTCATTTTTTTAAAAAGAAAAAAAATTAGATTTTGCAAAATCGCTGCCTCTGCAGCGATTTTGCTTTTTCCGGTGAGGTAAGTCGCTGTTGGTGCAGCGATTTTACCCGTTTGGTTAATATAAAATTTTATATACTGTTTTGAAATTTTTATTAACATTTTGTATCCTTTAGACTTCGAACTCTCATTAATACTACTGTATCGCGGAATATCAATATAAAATCTTAAAATATCAAATCATATCAAATTAATTAAATTGCTGTAATGATATATATTTTTAAAGTCAAAAGACATGAATTATTGAGCTTAAAGTTTTCAATATCATATCATGCCCTACCCTACTTATAAATATAATGATACGAGTAAAGTGTGGAACAAGAGTGATCATTCGAATATCATCAATTGATTGTGAGCCATTAATGTGGGTTCAACTTGACCCTACTAAGAGAGTTAATACCTCATGCTCACTCAACTATGCACTCTTCCCTCAGAAAGTCATTCAATTTTCAATTTTCCCTCAAAAGTCATTCAACTATGTACTTCTTTCTCAGAAAGTCACTCAACTATCCATTCTTTCCTCAAAAAGTCACTCAA